AAGTGTGTACATATTATAGAAAAATAAAATACTTTATGTCGTATGCATAGTTTAACAATTATTTAAAAAAAAATTTGTCTCAGGGTATTTTGGAAGTCTTTCATGAATTGCAAATCATTCAGGAAGATACACATTTACATTCAACACAGTTGAAATAAAACTTTTCTTGCCATGTTGTATACTGCAGATTAACCTCTAGTTTAACATATATTTATGATATATTGTGAAATCTAACATTTAAATCAAACAAATCATACATGCTTGAGTAAAATGATTTCATGCCACGAGTACATTTGAAAAGACAAGGAAAGAAAGAGTAAACAATGAAAGATGAAATTTATTAACTATGTTGTTATGCTCTTTTTGACAGTTATTTAAGATATTTAATTATAAGTTAACAAACAAACAATAATATAACATAATCCCAAATAGAAACTAATCACAAAGTTGATCAGAGACAATGTAAGATATAGGTCAGTGTAGTTTTTTTTTTCATTTTGCATTAGATTTATGCAAAACGGGCAAAAAATATTTCATTGGTTGCATAAATGTCAGTTAAACTAATTTTTCTGGAGGATGCCCTTTTCAGAGTGTGGCGAAATGTATTGCATTGGTATGCAGTGGATCGGCAACAGTAAAATGGGTGCCTATTGTAAAGACAGTATGGACTTCCAATGCATTAGGTTAAAGAGAATGTTTAGAAATTAAAATTAATAATAATATTTTTTCGTTAAAACATACCATTGTGGACAATATAAGTCTCTCAATCTTTATCGGAGAAATAAAGTACGTCTACTGTAAAGAAGCTTGTTTTTACGGCCTATTGGCTAGTGTTCTGAGCTTGTATGCAGTGGTGTGGGAGCAGATTAAAGAATAATTTGATACCAAGGCTTGTGATTGTGTGATAAAGACACACATTATCATTTACAATTCAAGAAGTATTTTAATCTACGGACATAAATAATTCCTAACATAATAAAATGCTTCTAAAATAATGTAAACTATCAGCTTTTTTATTTTGTATTTTGTGGAAACTGACACTCCCCTCTCACTTGGAAATGAAATATTGTCAAGGTTACAATAAGTCAGAGTGCTCTGCCACTGTCTGAATTTTCAGCAGTGAGATCAGGTGACCATGAAACAGACACTGTTTAGTGATTCCCATCTACATAACTTCATTTTCTCACATGAGAACTACAATAACAGAACATAGTGTCACATTTTTACCTGAAATACCCTTTATGTCCTGTATATGACTTTTGTATTGCACTCTGTTTGGTCTCTATGTTTGAGGACTCTATGTTAAGTGAAAGTGAAAAAAGCTGAATATATAATATTAATATATACTGTAAACTTAATATGAATTCATATTCATACAAATATGTCTGTTACAAAAAAACAATTCCGCTGGGATTGAGTGTCGACCACCAAGGGTAGTACGGGCATTCTGGGGGGGATCTTAGAGTTAGCCCTTACGTTGATCATCATTGGGTAATAATGGTCTAAAACCCTGTATTTAAACTTTATAGAGCCGTGACTGGCAGGAACTGGCTTTAATCCTTCTCTCGAACTGTGCTTCTTAAGTTCGACAAACATTATAGATGACAAACTGCTTATTTCAAAGCAATCAAAATAGTGTAAAACGTTTAAAGTTTAAATCCATCAAAAACAATGCACATTTCATATTTATAATTATGCTTCAGAATATAAATCAGTTACAAAAACAGCTGTGTATTATGTCAATATTTATTCAATCTCTTTCCTAAAAAATGTAGGAAACGATTTCTGTGAAAAGGGGTCTTACTGACTTCACAGGGGAAACAAAATTGTTTAACATGAGTCCATTGTAGCATGCTGTAAATACAGTCCCAGTGATTTTGTTGTTTGTCGCCTGCCAATACATTCCCCTTTTGCAGATTAGCAATCAGAGATGCCACCTGATACCAGATGATGCCAGCTGAAAACATGATCCTGAATGGGAGTATTTTATTTCTGTCACAAACCAAAATAGAAAGAAATATTAAATCGTTTCTATAGTTCTGGCTTCTTGTGTTAGTAGAGCACTATTGAAGAGCTGAGTGTCCTATATTTTCGTATTTTTGTTGTACCCTCGGGACTGCTGGATGTCCAAAATTCTGACACTGGTGAAACAAAGCTTTCAAATACACAGCACATGGCGGGATTATTATATTTCCTGTCAAAAAGATTAGACAAGATCAAATTAATTTTTCTAAATTCTGCCAACTTTTTTTGTCCCTAAATCCAGCTTTGAAATACCATCTTTTTGTAAGCATAATACACAGCTTTCAAATTCCATCAATGGAATTTGATGGAATATAGCCCTTTCTCCTTTATTCATCTGAAAAGCTCACACCGCCCATTTACACTTGCAATAGTTAAGCTGTTTATGTTCCCATTCACCAGTTACACAGGCTAGCTAGTGTAAACACAGCAGTATCTTTTTAATTGTGCTGTTTCTACCCTTGCTCCTCTGTCGAATTAGTACCCTATCTATGCCAGATTAAAGCAGATCTGAATGCATTTGTCACTGAATCAGCTTAAACTTTACTCAGCGTGCATGTGGGAACACGATAACACCGGATGCTGTTTGCAGAGCGGGATTTCTAAATCTTTGCTGCCCTGGTCCTTTGCTAGATATTCTCCCTTGTTTGGCAAAGATATTTGTTCTTGCAGTGGGACTGTATTCAGATACAAGTGCCCAGACAACTATAAATAGTGACTTCCCTTTGTAATATGCATTGAATTCAGACATGTTAAGATTTTACAGGAACAATTGTAAAAAAACATCAATTAAAATGAAAAAATATTTTAAACTCATTCAAATTCTAGTAAATATCCAGCTTCCTATAGTGTATTTGTGCAGGTATCAACTACCACACTAAATACCTAGCAGGATTACATGATCTGATGCCAATTAAATTCACTATACACTTGAACTAAGGAAAAATAAAATGTTTGTTAAATGGTTAGTTATGATGAGAGTCCAAGCACAGACCCCCAGAAGTACTGAGACAAAGATTATTTCTGCTATTTTTGCAGCATTATTGCTTTACTGTCAAGCAATTTGTATTTATGATTATGTAACATTAATAATGCAATATATAAACGGTATATATTTCTGGGTTATTGCATGCATACATTTGATCACTTAGTACAATAACATACTTTGCATTCTATCTGCTGATTTCAAGTAACCAGTAAATATTGGGACACATTCATTGTAAGTTCAGATTGCAAAAGTCTGTATTTAAGGCAATAACTGTACCAAATTTACTAAATTTAATTCTTGCAGCCACTCTGATGGTTTGCCTGTTTGGGGTCCTGTGACTATATTTTTTTCTTCAGCATGTAAAATACATACTCAATTAAATGTAAAACTGGAGGCTGACACAGATGCTCCACAGATGATTTGGTGTATTTTTAGAGGATCTGTAGTTCCTTCATTTCTTAAAAGTTTATGGACAGAAGAGACCAACAAAAAACTTTACCAAAGTGATGGGAAAGTTAAATTGTGAAGAACAGAACTAAATACATGTAGTATATGCATATTTTGTATATTGATGCATAAAAAATGCAACACAGAAGTCTAATGGATTAAATATTTTAAACATAAAATAACAGAAAATTGACCAATACAAATCATGGAATTTTATGTTTTCAGTGACATTGCAAAGTTATTATTGCTTATGACCTCCAGTCAGCTGCTGAAGATTGGCAGGTCTCAGTTGCCTCCTGCTGATGGCATTAGTTAAGATTAACCCACACATGCTCTATTGGACTTGGCCATGTCAAGACCTCAGCCTGTTTTCTTGAAGTCAAGCCATTGTAAACCAATGCAATATGTGATCTTTTAACAAAACCACTTCCAAGTTGGCTATCACAAATGCAAAAAAGGAAAAAAATGTTTGTTCAAGTACAAGGACAATGTATCACTGAGTAATAAGGTTGCCCTTAAATCTGCACCAACAGGGTTCTTGTGCTAGTTTTCTTCCCAAATTAACATATTTCTACTGTCCCATCAGTTGGCTTGAGCACCACAACTATCAGCATAATGCTCACCATCTTCCATCAATTCTGTCAAGGGCAAAAACAAACACCTCTGCCACCAAGTCAAATATTCTCTGATCCATAGAATACAATGATTTTGTCTCATGGCTATTCAAGATTACTCCTGAATGTCCTCCAAGTATAAAGAGCATCTTTATACAGTGAGCTACAGGCATTTTGCTGATGTATGGGTGATTTGTTTCAGGAACTACTTGTGGTGTACTCACTGCAGTCTGAAACAAGTTACGCAGATGGGGCAGACCTGGGCCAATAGGGTGACTCCTGCTATCCAGGACACAGCCTATTCCTCACTGAGCCAGTATCAGTGCTATACATAGGTTCATTCCTGCAAGGTGTGGCTTTTGTGTGTAACAAGGTTTCATAAAAGTATCTTAAATGTAAGAAGGCTTAAATGTATGAAAATTAAAAATCCTGGAAGTACAAAAAAATTAAATTAGTAAATTTATGACTTCCTAAATATGTTCAACAACTACTTACTGTAAATGGCTCTCTACTTTTCAAGAGTAAATAAAATCAAGACTTAATAATAGCTGTCATGTTCCACCTTAAGGAAGTACGTTTTAGAAAAGGAACATACTCTCAACAGAATTAAGACCGCTAATTATGTACATTCTATCCACTAATTTTCAGATTGTAAATAAATAACACTGAATATCACACAGTGTAATTAAATTTGTGGTTTATCCTACTGTATATTCTAACACTATCATAGTATTAGGATGGAACAAATGCAGCCAGCAAAATAAACAATGGGTAAGCTACTATAACAGGCTTTAAAATGACTACTAAAAAAGCCTCAGTACTAAAGAAGGAACCTACAGGCAGATAATAATATAATAAACCAAATTAAAAAGTCCACATACCGAACGAAATTTAACCAGTCTTCACCCCTTAAACAAACAAGCAAAAAGGTCATTGGGAAATAATTTATTATCCATGTAAAGTTCAGGTAGTTACAGACAACGAGAAAGGAGCTTCAATGATGATGTGTCTGCTTGAACTGGAGCCCACAATAGCCACATGTCCCGACTTTAGTATCTTTGTCCTAAGAAAACAAAAGGTCACTATTAGACTGGTAAGATCAATGTTTCATGTATACTTAGAGGCATAAAGTAAATGATATTGGTCCAGAAATGTCATAAGAAACTAGCAAAAACATTTCCACATTCTATGGACACATAGATCCTTTTAATACAGTCCCTTTAAGATAGGTACCTTCAAGTAGCAATTAAATCCACAGTTTTTCTGTAAACGTATTCTGCACTTTTCTAAATGTTTAATACTCCACTTCAACTTCCACTCTTGTTCATAAAATTAATATCGTATGGTCCTACAACCAAGCAGAGGAATTTAAGGCTCAGCTACCCTTTGTCTGGCTTCACTATGACATACATCAAGCCCTACGTGTTTCCTAAAAAAGGTCTGTGAATGCTGACCTGAGACCACTTAAAATACTTACCTCTGTAACAGTCTAATGTAATTACATCAATGAGCACAAATATAAATCAAAGACTAAGAAAAGGCAAACATTCCTAAACTTATAAACCCCTTTGGTTTTGTCCAGAGTTAACTTTTTACATAAACTGTTATATACATAAAAAAGATGAAGTGGGGGGTTTAATGTTCAGCTTTATTTAGAACATATATACGTTGGTGGTTTCAAATATTTTCTTGAAAAACACATTTTCTCACATTGAAAAGACAGCTCATTGGTGATGACAGGAAAAATAGCCTTTTCTCATTCTTGACAATTCTAATCCTGTTAAATGCATTTATCTTCATATAGCAATTCTATCACCCTCCAAAACTGTTTTTTTCAACACTTGTTGATATGACGTGACCCAGCATAAGGATTCAACGCAATAGATCAAAAATGCTTTTTTTAATGAGTAATGATATAAAAGATTCATGTCTATTTTATACAAAGCCAGAATCTCAAAAAAAATGTTTCAAGTGAATATTTCCAAAATGTATGCTTCTGAAAAATGAGATGGACAAAATTATATGAGCAATTCCTTTTAATGCAATTATATTAATATGTAGAGCATATATTTATGTGTTTTTAAAGCAACTGTTTCAGATGGTTTTCTTTTAATACATTTATTTTAGAATGATAATATTACAAATTCTAAGCATTCTTTCATCTGGTTATAACACATCTATGTAATTGGAACATTGCTAAATAATCTGGTATATAGGCAAATTGTTATCCTATGTCTACAACCCCCAAACCCCACCCCCTAGACATAAATGTATACATTCAGCACAGCAAAGCCCATTTCAGTCAAAACAACAGTGATCTTGTTACTTGCTCTGAATCAACACCACAGTGTTTACATTAAATGATAAAAAAACAGTTGTAGTGCTTATTCAGGGGCAGTGTTTATTTGTCCCTGAAGTACCACTTTTATGATAAAAGTGATTTCACAGCAACAGTGAAATGCACATATAATAAGAGTATATTCAGATTTTATCTTTTTTTATTTATAGAAGAACTGCAATGTTGGGACTGAGTATGTAACTGCTGTGGGAAAAACTGGGAGTGAATTCCCCTGTATGTTGCGTATTTTTTTAATTATTTCAATTAACCTTTGGCAGGAATGCCATTTACTACTATGGAGGTTGAAGTTCAAGTAGGTGCGCATACCCGAAGAAGGCTCCACAGCCTTAACATTGTGTCTCTTTTCTTTTCAGCATAGAATAAACCTTTACTTGTTCCTTTGCAAAACAGGTTTAGTATTGTTTTCTTTTCGTTAATGTATTTGGAGCAGTCACTTCATGTTTTCTTTTTTTTACAATTTAAGTGAACAGAGAGCTCAAAAACAAATAGGTGTTAAACATTTGTATTCTATTCCCACTTTAGTATTTACTATGCATTTCATTAATTTATTATGAAGTACAGCAATCAATTTGAATGGTAGCCTCGATCATTTTTATGTGCAGCATTAACTCACAGAAATTTATTTCAAATACGTGTATTCACAGGTAGTATTAAACCTAAGGAGGTAAAAGTAATCTGGGTTGTTTACAATAAATATTAACAAGAGTACAGTTCACAATACAATTATGTTGCTTCTTTGTACCACCAATATATGCTGCTTTGGGAAGATTAGTAAAAAGTTGTTAGGGCACCAGAGGGCAAATGTGCTACATAGAACATATAAGACACTAAATGGCATGTTATGAGAAAATTAATTAAAAGGTCAGGTTAAGCAGATGAGATAAAGCCTAATTACCAGATTAATGTAGACTCGGGGGTGTCCCAGAGCTCCTCCTCCCCCATCACAAGAGACCACTCTGCTCTCCACTTCTTTAACAGGCTCCTCAGCCACCAGGTTTATGGCAAAGTTCTCATTAACCTGCATTTACCAGAAAATACAATACAGATGTAGCTGAGAATTCTTTTCTCTTATATAAGGTAAACTGAGTTCACATTATTGTCATACACTTTAAAGTAAACTGAACAACAAGGCAAAGGCAGGCCTACAGCATAAGGTCTGTAGCCAACAAAACAGGTCATATAAACCTCTTATAACAGTCATCTTGGAAAATCGTTTGCTTCACACATTTGATAAACATTTTTACTAAAATACATGATTGCATATCACAACCAGATATTGATGTGACAAGTGTATTACTTACCTTGCTTTTAAAGAACACATTACTCTTTGATTATATGCCTAATTGCGCTATTGGGATTACCTATTTTAGCATTTTGTATTTTAATCTCTCATGTAGAAATACTTTGTTTAAGGCTTTGACAGCAAACCATATTGCAGAAATGCCCATTTCTTTATTCTCCTTTTTCCCCCAATCAAAGGCATGTGTGCACACGATCACTTGAAGAGTGAAATTCCACCTGAACTGTTTTGCAGACAAAAAGGTGATGTACTCTAAGTTTTGCCAACAGTGCAAAGCAGATGACGATAAAAAAAAATTAATGCAAATTGAGCAGACGTGCTTCGGCAGCCTCTAGGAAATAGGCTAGCTTCAATGTCTGCTTTCCTTCAAACTTGCAGAAACATCCATCCAGAACAGATAACATACTCTGCCCATCAGTAGATCAGTGACAACTAACTGTCACACTAGAGCGCCTTTTGAAAGAAAAAAAATGTAGGAGAAAAAACTGGAGACCCATTTAGATAACTTGGCAGCACATGCTCAAAATATAACTGGAAAAGAAGAGAAGATGGGAGAACTGTGGTGTTGATGGAAGCAGATGAAAAAACACTTATGGATCAAAACTGATCATATGTTCTAAAAGAAAAGTTGTGCTGGTGACATCCTTTCATCAAGATGAGATAAGCAATGAGATGATGCGCTGTTCCCATCAGCAGCTGACTGACAAGAGAAATGTCCACACAATGGACGTGTTACCATTTACAGTAATGCAATGTCGGAATGAATGACACTGCCAGTAACCTCACAGGTTATGCTAACAGACATCAAGGCACCAATCAAGGCTGCTGAAAGGCCCAGCTTTAAGTGTTTAGATGGGCACTTTCCGCTCCACCGTTCTCAACTGACAAGTACCCTAAAAACCACTGTCAGTTATACAAGCACCAATATGACCCTACGGGCCTCGTCAGTGCAATTCAGAATTAATGTAAATGTGCATAAGATATAGCCCATTGTACTGTGAAGCATTGCCAAAATGTAATATTCAGGTCTGCAAGTTAATATAGGAGAAACAGAGAGGTTTCTTAAACAGTTCTAACAATTGCCTCTATTTCATAGTGTCAGACATTTCACCAACTTCAGCCTGTCATCTTTAAAAGTTTATAGGCTTTTTAGTTACCATTGTGTATGTAGCCTACATTTATTACTTTAAACAGAATTTTCTACCTTTTAATGCCAAAGCAAGCAAGTAGGGAGCACAGCAAAACTTAAGCCTTCAGGTTAAACCCTAATCAACTAAATCTGCACAGACTATTTCAGATGGTCAACTGTAAAGAATACAATATAAAATGTAATCTCACTTAACTAACAAATAGCCCTTAGATTGTCCAAGCTTTACTAACTACTAAAATAATACTAAAAAATAAAACATGAAGGCACAATACCTCTCTCTCATGCATGACTCCAGGATGGCCAATTCCATGCCATTCTAATTTGTACTTTAAGCTGATAATGTATGCACAATGCAATAAGATGGTTTCTGATTGAAAACAAAATACAACTATTGAATTTTCTATGCAGTGACTGGATATTAGAATTCTCATCTCAGATACACAGCCACATTTAACACACTGCCAGAATAATAAAAAATACATCTAACCTCCTAGAAACTGACAGTGAAGGACTCAGATGTAAAAGAAAATCACTACTATAAATATTGTTCTAAAATTGTCAACATGTAAATGAGGTTTATATTGTTTCACCATGCTTCACTGACATCAGCAGTTCACGGTCTTTTCTCTTTATAACAGTGGGCTTAAAAAAAAACAATAACTAGGGACTGCAAGCTTGTAATAAAAGCTAATTTCACTACACATACATTTTACCTGGAGTTAGCATTTAAAGTTGTGCTTAGCATCAATATTTTGTATTTTAGATTTTTTTTAGAACATTTAGGAGCCTAAATGTTAATCATTTAAAGAAACTTAAAATAAAAAAGGCTTAAGTAAGTACCTGCATCAGCATGCATAGGTTGCAAAGGAACAAGTAAATGTTTATTCCATGCTGAAAAGAAAAGAAGGCTCCACAGCCAAAATGTTGTATCTTTTTTCTTTTCAGCACAGAATTAACCTTCACTTTATTTCATAAAAAAAAAAATACCGCTCACCTCTTTCTGTCTTCCAACAAATCTGGCTCGTCTTAAGTCTTTCTCATCATAAACCTAAAACAGTAACAATTAACTTACAAAGGTACATCTGGAAAGATGTGCTTACTAAAATAGTAGACATATCAGAATAAATGGTCTCAGTCTTAAAAAAATCTCTAATTTTACAAAAATATCTACAAAATGGATGGAGAACAAAACATGCTCGTTTTACAAAAGGTTATCACCAACAAATAACGATTTATACTAAAGCAAAGATTATTAAAATATATGTATATCTGCAGTATTTTATACAGGATCTCTGCATTTCTTTACGTTATTATTTTTTTACAACAGCAGTATTAATGCTGGGCAAACCAGTATCCCCTCCAGAAAACTGACTGGTACACAAGTTAAAGATCACTACAGTAATTATATAGTACACATTTCTTTCATCACATTACTATGGCAGTTTAGAGCTTAAAGAGACCAACACGCATGCATAATTGGGTAAATTGACCATTTTTACTTGCTACAGAAATCTTAGTAAAAGCCATATTTTACAAGATGTAGACAATGAGACTGAACGTTATGACTATGAGAAAGGATACTGAACAGTTACTCACTTCTGGTTACTGGTTTATCAAGTATAAACATTAAGTTAATTTCAAACAACAGGTATTTGATTATGGCCTTCAAAACATATCTTCATATTGGTTACAGGATAAAGCAGGATATTAATGATTCAACTGTAGCATTAGACAAGCAAAGAATAAAAGGAATTTTAAATAATTTAGTTCACACTAAATCCAAATACTCATACAGGACATTCTAGTTTATGTTCAATGGAAATTAGCGAACACATTAACACCATTGTTAAAATAGAGAGACCTGAACCCATTTATTGTATTATGCTATTTTCATTGAATAGAAAAAAGTGTTTTTGAATCAGGTACGAAAGACATTCCCGGAAAATATTAAATATTATTTATGCAGAATACTTTCTTTTATTTAATATATGTCAACTTATAATTCAAGACAGTTACAGGTAACACTATTGAACTAATGCGTAATTTAAAACACTTTTCAAGTTTGTCTATTTTTATTTTGTATTACCTGTCCTGTGTGAGTAACTTTCTCCCCAGTACTTGATACAAGAGCACCATATCGATAAGAAGGGACGCAGGACACTTTCAAGGGTGCCAAAATAAGCTTGGGATTCTTTATGTTTGTGAAGGACAACAGCTTCTGTATGGAAGCAGCCATATTTCCCTGGACTCAGTACCCACAATTCCTTGCAAACTGCTCTTGAGCATGACAGGTGAGCATGGTTCTGGGTCCTAGTGCGTTCAAAGGACAGAGAAATAATTGTTGGATTGTTTTATTTATTTGTATATGGCACTTTTTCTATATACATTTTATTATATACATAGTTTACAATTTTAATTTGAGTAGCTAAAACAAACTAAACAAACTGAACTTCAAAGGAGTTAATTAAACCATTTTCTAAAGCACGTTAATGTCAAGGCACAGCTGTTATTCCTCAGGTTCATGCTGAATCTAAAAATCCAATAGAAAATAAAACTATTAACAGTCTCTTATTCGTCTGTCATTAATTAAATGTGATACAATTTCATTCTAAGTAATAAAAGCATCATTTCCGGCGGACCAGCGAGCATGAAATGACACTAGGACCCCGCGGAATAAAGGAAGGTCTTCACGTGTTCAGTGACTTCTCTGAAGTCACAGGAAACAAGCGGTCTGTGGCGTACGGCGTTTTTCCGAAAATCTTGAGAGAAAAGAATAACAAAATAGTCTTTCTGCAGCTAAAATACAGGTTTGGGTAGTTTTCTGTTTCTGCTTATTTACCGATCCCACTTTATTCAAAGGATTCTACCATATTTACTATAGAATAGGCCTTCTTCAACACGTTGAAAATTATGGTTCAATGTCACTCATTTGCTGTTACTAGTTTATCGTAAATTTCTTTGCATATCCGTACGTCGGTAACATCGTTGTATTAAGGTGGTTTATATCAGAGCTATACCGAACTAGCGTACTAGCCACATCTACATTTAAAAATAGTGGAGAGCATGAGAAACGGCCTCAATAAAACAAGAAATTCTGAAATTTAATATTAATGAAAAAATATACAGGAACCATACTTCCTGTGTCTATGTGTACTTTAAGCACAAGTAAAAGAATATTAAACTTTTTTCATAAGGGAATTGGGAGAATCGTTACATTAAATGTCACGTTATCTTCGTGTGCCTTCTAATAATGATCTCTCAGCTGCCATACTGTATTATTATAACAGGCAATCCAAGTATATCCAGTATTTGTGTGTTCTGTATTTTGCAGGTCCTGATGCAATGGCATTTGTTGTGCTGAAGCGGTTGACCACTTCATTCACTAGGCAACTCTCATACCTGAGCAGATACACAGCAAATCCATCCTCATGTCATACAGAAGCATACAGATGTCTGTCATCTGTGGCAGCTTTGCAGCCGAAGATGTTAACATCTGTTTTTGCTATGTATGGACCAAAGGATGTGCCTGTATTGAGATGGAGCCGGCTACCGGGTTTACAGCAGTTAGCAGGAATGAAGACGAAGACTGCGTTAAAAAGACGCTGTCAGGACTGCTTCTTTGTTCGCAGAAGAGGAAGACTGTTCGTTTTTTGCAAGACCAATCCTAGACACAAGCAACGTCAAGGATAAATGTAAATTTAAGAACTTGAGGGAGTTGGGGATATCTCATAAAGTTTGTAATCATAATGCATTTCTTTTTGTGATAGATGTTTTCCAGATGTCACAATGAAAGTAAAAGTAATGTGATCAAATTGTGAACAGAACTTTTTTTGCACTTTAAAACTACCATAGCTACATTTTTCTGTTTTTAAGCACTTATATTTCCAACATTCAAGTTTCTACATTCTTCTCACTTTTATACCCATAATGATGCATTTAATAAAACTGCAAGTGAATGTGAAGATAGCAGGGTAACAATACAACTGATCCAAAAATTAGCAACCTCAAAAACAACATGCTAAAGTGGCTTTGAATAACAAAAGCAATACAGACTTTTTTTTTCCATACTAAACTTCTTGAGTTCATATTTGTCATGGATAGAGTTAGGATTTTTTCAAGTGGTAGTGTGTACAGTATATATGTTATGGTTATCTGACATTAAGCACTGTAAATCTAGTGCTTCCTAAATGAATGCCAAAAAAAGAATAAGCTGTTACATATTTACCTTTGAACTGTAGCCTAACCCAGCAGACAATTGGTGCAAGACGGAATACCCCTGGAGGGGATACCAGTTCATGACGGAGCACATGCAGAAAAAACAACTCAGGCATGTTATGTTTTGGCTGCTGGAGGAAATTGAAGCATGTGGTGGAAACCCACACAAACCTAGAGACAGCATGCGAACTTCACACAGAAGGCATCTCAGGCACGAATAGAACCCCTGCCCAAGAGCTACAAGCCGTAGTGACCTAAAGAGCCATAAACCTAAAAGGTATTTCAGTATGTTGAATTCTTATTGACAAAATAAACGGAAGAATATGAAGGGATAGTGTGCTTAATAGTTTGGTTTTAACATGCCAGACTGAGGAAATGAGGGTATTGGTCAAAGGTCAGCAGTGACACAGCATCTCAATTAGGGAATGACTTATTTTTACCCATTTTCCAGTTAAATGGTAATAAAAGACCAGTACACTAACTTAGTCTCGTATTTCTGGAATGTTGTTTTTGTAACATTGTTTGAAACGGCTTAAAGAGCAAGCAGTGACATTTGTAAAAAAGCTTACACATGTTGCTGCATCTGAGTAATATGCCTGTGGCTTTTCTTGCTATTACACAGATCTTTATAACTTACAAGTTTAATATGCAGTGTAATCATCGTTAAAGGTCTTTCAAAGATAGTGTCCCATTAACTGGGCTGGAACAGCAGTTTGTTCTCTCATAACTGCTGTAAGAACCTTAACAAAAATTACTGCTTAAGCTTTAATTTTGTTTTTTTGTTTCCATACCATATCTTCAGTCAACATTATTAACAGAAGGGGCATAATAGCTATACATATGAATGAATCCTGCTGACCAACAATACTAATTAAATACTCTTTCCTAAAGAAAACTTCACAGGCAAAAATGTTTTTCAGTCTTTTTTTCTTTTGCTTTTCAACATGGAATCTACTTGTTCCTCAGCTCCCCACTCTAACCTCATTATAATTATAAATATAATAAATATTCCTGCTGGCCAGTTATGTGTGAAAAGTCTTAAAATTCTAAGTTCATATGTCACTTCCTTTTTAGCAGTAGTTAAGTGCTATATTATGTCTACCTGCAGCTCAAAATGTAATTTTGTACCTGTACAGGGGACAATAGTCTGACCTTCACAACTACTATAACTCTGCCACTTACAGGTAGCTGTTCTGAAATTATTTCAGCAAACAGCGATCTTGTATGGTGCTCAACAGAGTTCTGTATTCCATATTTGCCTACACTTGTCATTGCATTATCATATCTGAAACCATTTATTGAAGTGAAAAACAAGAAACATGTATGGAACTGCTGTTGAAAGATGAACAGATACATATAAGAGTTTGCAATGCTCTTGTTTTATCACAAATATCAGAGGTAAAGGGATGCCTGCTATGAAAAACAGACACACAATCCTTCCACCACATTACAGCCTTCCTGCGGTTCTCATACAAGTTATGAGTCAAGATTAACTGAAGAGGAATTTTAATACACTTTAAATGGAAGCCTCACAGAGGGGGACATACCAGGTGATTAATATTTATTTTATTAATGCCAGGATACCTCTGTACTTTGGAACGTAGCTGCAAAATCTTTTCTTTTAAAATGTGTAATGTGTTTACTAGATATAAAAGTTACCGTTAATTTAACACATTTTGGACAGATCAGCAGCAATATCTTAATGTGGAATGCAATTTTTCAATATACATGGGTTGCATGACTGATATTACATTATACTTCCATACAGAACCTTTTGTATTATACTAGTGTATTCTGAGAAACGGAGTATTAACTGCTAAAGTATTAATCTTTTCTAAAAACCTTAGGTGAATTTTTAATATTTGGTCATGCCAACAGGAAAAGTGAAATTAGCATTTAGACATTTAGTAGATAACAGTGCACATTATTATTTTTTTAACTAAAGTAAACCTTTGCCAGATTCAAGCAATATTTTAATAAGCATAAAATAGAATCTATTTACATATGTTAGTGATCCGTGAAGGTTACTATAACATTAAAGAGCAATATTTACCGCTTGAGTGGTATTCATTAGAAATTAACTACCACTTAAATTAATTCATAAGACTGTAATACTGGAGAAAAGAAGCAGTTGATCAACACATACTGACAAGCTAGCAATCACCAGCTTTATAAATGAATATATTAACCCTTGGGTGAGGATGTGCTACAACAGGATTGAGTTTATCCAGCTGTGTAAGACACACTGCTGTTTATTTAATGAACAGTCAATACCGTTGGAGCAATAGGAGGCTGAATGTCCATTATTTGATTTAGTTCTATCGATTCTATCAACATAGCAATAATACTGTACTGCACTTTTAACATCACTATTCCCATAAAATTATAGATTGTCAGCTACCTTCAAATTTTAAATATCTGCTCACCATCTAACATGACACGTAAGAATAAAGGTGATGCAATAATTCTGTCAAAGACAAATTTGCCATTTTGAATGTGCACCTTACCAAAAAATAATGGAATTTTCCAATTTTCTGTAAAGTGGGTTCACGCTTCTCTAAATGGGCATACAAATTCTTACGATTCTCCCTTTGTGTTTCATATTGCAGCTTAAATAACTGTGGGGCACTTGCTTTAGTACTTTGCCTCTCCAAGGTAAGATGGTCTTGCCCCAGTGGTTTACTTGACATAAATCTATTCTCCCTTGATACAGACATTCTATTATTTTGCTTGTACCCTTGCAAATTCTAATGGAGTTATTATTAACCTGTACCATGTAACTCTGTTTTCCCCCCCTGTATCCTTAACTTTACGGAGGGGAAAAGCATGTTGCCTGAGGCCACATGGAATAATACTATTGCCAAGTATGCAGTATGCAAGGAACAGATTTGTTTTTGTCCAAGTTAAACTTCTAATAGACAATTGTTTTACATACTGTATTGTATAAGCACCTTCTTTGTCAAACACAAAAGGCCTTTTGTTTGCAAATACTTATTAATATATTGTATATCTTTTGATAAACTGAAAATGAGAAAGTAAATGCTATTTGTCTTATCTTTTTTATTTACATTCTGTCTAGACCATGAATGTACAGCCTCTTGCTCGTACTGCCTTTCACTATTGAAATTTTAAGTAAACTCCCAGGGAAAAGAATTGGGGTGTATGCAAACGAGCTGTAGAAGTATTTATGGACATACTGTATCTATTACAGTACTGGAGTCCTCTTACCTTCAGAGGGTCTTCAAGGCAGGGGATAAGTAATATTTTTCAGCTGAAAACTATTTGAAAGTTGAAAGTATTTGATATTCTGTTAGTATTAAATAGGTAAGACTATGATGGAATCTGATCTAAGTATCCTTAGTTGATTGTACAGGAAAGAGGAAACTAAATAATTCACTGATGTATTGATTTTTTATCATCAATAGTATTAGTAGGATTACTCCTGTTTCTAGGACAATACTGTGGCTGAATAAAGTTTTACTGTACACTAAAGCTAGGGCAACATACTTTATGTACTTTTACTGTATTGTTATTGTAATAATAATACTATTTTTATATACTATTCAATGTAGCCAAATCTGCCCAAGTGCAAAATGATGGTGCTCACTACTGAGATACCAGGTACTATGAAAATGAAGAATTTGTAATGACACATGACACCTGTTTACTTATATGGAAGAACAGGACAGGGCAATCACAGTCTCCTTGGGACAAAAGAATAGTAAGTAGAGTGATCCAGGCATGGTACCACTACCCCAGCAACGGTGTAAATGGATTTATACGGATTTACATGGATTTAACAGCCCTTAGACCTCCTCCTCCCCATAGGATATAATAAGACAGCGATATATCAGCTGGTATGTGACATCATATCTGCTTTTTGCATTAAATGATAATTTGAGAATGTGCCAAAATCAATATATTCAAAGATTATTTATTACACTTTTTCCCAGTTCATTAAAAGGACAGCACTAATTTACCCAACTTGGTAACAGGAAGTAATGAATATTTTTAAAACTTTTGTTTCATGGCATTCATATTCATTATTCCATTATGAAGGTCAGCTGTACAAGAAGGGTTGGAATGCGAGTTATTGCGGTATCATTTGTGTTGTTTTCTTTATGATGGGTATTTTGTTTTATTGTGGAACAGCTTGTGATAAAAAATTAAGTGGATGCTAAGTGACTAATGCAATTTTGCAATCTTGGATATGGCCAATTAAAAATTAACAATGGAAATAATTAACTTTGATTGATTCGGAGAGTACTAAAACTTGGGCTCTGCTTTATAAGTTATTCATACAAATGTAAATTTCTCTTTCACTTACACCCAAAATAACATTATAACATGTACTATAAATTCTATGAGACTTTTAACTTATGTTCAGAACTTGTAGTGATTACATTATGCCTCTCTGCACACTGGAATGTTGAAATTTTAATTGTTTTTATTTTCATTTTTTACTGCATCATCTAATATGCATATAACCAGAGGTAAACAAGGATTCCTAGCAACATTTCATTTTGTAGCTGTTAATCCTCACCTTTTTTCTGGCACAGTTAGCTGTCATTTTACACTCTGTTTTTATTTTGCCATTCAGCTCT